TCATAGTATTAGATCTCATTTTCTATGCAAAAAATATATAATATATCTTAAGAACTTCTTTCAACGTTTAAATAATAAAATTTTAAAACTAAAAAATGTAGATGATTATATTTTTTAAACATAACTATACTTGTAACTGCTTCCGGTTCCGATTTAGTGACAGCTTCCTCTACAGTTACACAATCTTTAAATCAATTGACAATTTAAAATGTTTGTATAAGTTTAATTAAATAAAGTTAATTTTTTTTATTACAGATACCTACATCATCTCAAGGACTCAAGTGTTAAATCTCATCAGGAGAAGAACTCTTAGGTCAAAGAAATGTCAATAGATGGCGTTACATGGATTTTAAATTAATAAGAAATTAAATTAACTTTTAAAATGTACATATATTTTAAGACCTTTTGTAACTTACAAATGAAATAGTGGTTTTTTTAAGTTTCCATAATTTTAGGGTTCCGTTACCAAAATAAAAAGGTTAAATTCAGATAAAATTAACAAAATATATTTTTAAATAGTAGGTAATAAAGCAAATAAAATAGTTTTAAATTGTTTTAATTTAAACAATATGTAACAAAAACCCTGTTGTTCCATATAGGTATGTAATACGTATACATAATCATATAGGTGTACCATTAATAAAATTTTATTTAAAATTATCAAGTACTGGTTAGTTATTGTTTATAGTTAAAATAGCTAATAAAATCGACATTAAAAAATGTTTGTACATTCTGAATTATGGAGCATTCATTAATTACGTGAGATAATTTTGGTGATTTTTCGACCCCCATGCGAAGCACATGCCCGGTGGGACACGAACTAGGTGTAAACCACACGCGTGTTTGGAGAATTCTCAAAGATGATGGCCAGCACCCATTTCACTATCGTCGAGTTCATTCTCTACTTCCCACGGACTTCAAGCCTAGAATGATGTACAGCAGATGGGTACTAGACAAGATGAAGTCGAAGGATGGTGAGTTCTTGATCAGAGTACTCTTCGCTGATGAGTGCTCATTTGTTAGGACAACTGTATTTAATTCTCACAATCAACATGTATGGACCCGATGGAGGACTAATGTTTGGGCGGGAATAATACGGGACAATTAATTTTGATACACTCTTCAAATACAGTTTTATTCATTAAAATATGTAACTAAGTTTTAAAAATATTTCGCTAAACTGGCAACGAAACCATAACGCGTCTTAGAAGACTCGTAGCGCCATCTGTTATAACAGTGTGTAAACTATCGACAGTGAATTTGATATGAAATAAATAATTTAAATTATAACGCAGTTTTATTTTACTATAAATCTTTTAAAATAAAATGAACCAATTAGTATGCAAATTATATATTAGTTAAAGTGATTCTTAAGACAAGTCACATAAATTTCTATTAGCGATACCATTTTTACAATTTCAAAGATTCAAAATATAAATATGTTAAAATAAATAGTTTTAACTTTTTAATTATTATAATCTATCTATATTAATAATATAAAAAGGTAGTTTTATTGTCTGTTTGTTTGAACGCGCTAATCAGGTACTACTAATCCGATTTGAAAAATTCTTTTTGCATTAGATAGCCCGCTTATTGAGGAAGGCTATAAGCTAAATAAATCATCCCGGAAAAACTACGGTTCCGAAGCGAAACGAGGGTGAGTCGCTAATCTTAATATATATATTTCTTGTGTGCGTGTGTATGTGACTGAACTCCTCCTAAACGACTGGACCAATTTTGATGAAATTTTTTGTGTGTGTTCAAGGGGATCTGGGAATGGTTTAGATTCACAATTTGAATAATAATTTTCATCAAAAAAATTATTAAAAAAAGTTTGAAATTTTCAAATTAAAGACGTGTAGACAGGACAACGTCTGTCGGGTCCGCTAGTAAAATATAAAACTGGAAAATAAATGACTTCAATGCACTTTTTTTGGTTTTGCTTTTTTTTAGTTATACTTAATGTCATTTTAAATTTTATGAATATACTTCCCTGATGTCTCTCTGCTCTTCAAACTTTCGGGCTTTCTCCAAACTATAATATGTTAAAACCCACATCAATCTGTTGCTCATTAGATATGTGAACGGATGTACCAACATATACTTATTGAGCGGGATCCTAATTTTTTTTTCTAAAATAAAGTCAGCCTAGGTTACTCCTATAACATCAGCTATCTGCCAGTGTGAGTCCCGTTTAAATCAGTCCAGCCCTTACGAAGTTTAGCCGGAACAGAAAAACAGACAAAAAAATTCAAAATTGTGTTTTTCTTATAAGTACCGTATATAATTTTATATGCATTTAGTAAAAAGCTGTTTTTTTGACATTACAAACAGACACTTTAATTTTATTTATCTGTATCTGTATACAAAATTCCGTGAGTGGGTTTTCCTAAACAACGACCGATTTTGATAATATTTTTGTGTTATGTAGATTTATAATTCCAGATGGTTGTTAGCTATAGCTGGTAGTTGGCGCTGTTGTTGAGGTCCTGAATTTTTATATTAATTTTGTGGCAAGATAACGTCTGCTCTTATCTAAAGGGCTTTTAGTAGGTATAAGTATAAAACTCAGTACGAAAATACGTAAATAATACAAAAATCCTTGGTTATTTTGGAATTGAGAAAATACACAACAACATTTTACTTAAAAATAGTTTTTTTATTAACATTTTCAAAATTGTATCTCTATTTGGTATAAATTTTTCGCAAAAACCAAATTGTATTACTATTCGGTGTAACTTTCTCACAAAAAAATATATAAAAAAATAAATATGAGATCAGTAAATAACAAAATACACATTAAAATATATAAAAACTCTTATTTTGTTACATATTTAATAATCAATTTTATTATACCACTAAGCTATCTCACAATGCATTATGGCTGATTTTTAGACACTTTTTCTTGGATTTTCCCATCGATCAAAAAAGTACTAGTTATTGTATAATTGTCTCATGCAAAATTTCTCTTAAAACTGTCACCAATTGTGTTTAGGTAATTATTCTAGTTGATATCAATATACAACAATGTAAATTGAACCTTAAACGCAACGCCTAAAGTTGTTATCACAAAAAAAAAATATTAAAAGCGCGCTTAAATTAAACAGAGCGCTCATTCGGTGAGGACATTTTTCGTCGCTGATTGTGTATCTAGTACTTTTTGGATCGATGGATTTTGCATACTTCATATATTCAGATTAAAAATGTATATAAACAGAGTGCCATAGAACTAAACATAAAGCCAAACAATGTTTTTTTTTTAAATAGTAAACATAATAAAAAAACATGTGTGTTTATACATATGTACGCACGTAAGAAGTTATACTTCTTTGGCGTAACAGAACAAAAATAGCTAAAGATTTCATCCCGTATGTCACAACTCTCTGTTTGTAAATGGTGTACGCGCCCTTTGCAGACCCAGTCTGCCCACCTGAGCCTAAAGTGCAGTAATAGGCATTTTGGTCGGTTTTGAGTTAAACATATATTTTGAATTCCCATTTTATTAGCTATCAGTCAATTTAATCCTTTTTTTGATAGCTCTAATAAAAGTATTTTATTTTAATATTTTTTCGGAAGGTACAACAGCAAAAATATCACAAATCTATTAAAATATTCAAATTTTACCAGCTAAACCGCAGTTAAATTAATACTGCACAAGATTTATTTATGTTTCCTAACTAAACTGCAGTGTTTTCTCATACTTTGCGGCACTTAAAATAGTAGTTTGTTCTAGAAGATTAAAGAAAAAACTTATTAAAGTGCAGTATTATTCGACGCCATACAAATTGATTATACTGCAAAGGTTAAGAAAAAATATTTTTATTTATATTCCTAATTAAAGTGCAGTATTAACATTACGTACTGCACATTAACTTGTGGGCGATTTTGTAATTTCTTGTGAAAAACCAAAAGACATGCAGTATTTAATAACTTTACTGCAGTTTAACTTGTAGGATGTTTGGTAGTTGCTTGTAATAAACCATTTAGTTTACAATATTTATAAATTTTACTGCATATTAGTTAGTTTACTCCATCCAATTCATACTACCTAATATACCTAAAATCAAGTACTATTCCCTAATACTTCGTTTTACTAGGTAACATTATTAAAATATTAGAATCGAGCACGATACTGTTAATATCGGCGTCACGTGGACTGGCAACACCTTTTCGCACGCGCAACGCAACTGCCATTCATGATCGCGGTTTGAGACGGACTTCACGTGCCGTACTGTGTCTGTACCAAAGAGAATTTAATACACTACATTCTGTACATGAACCCGTAAACATCGGTAAGTATTTAGAACATAATAATTATTTTTATTTATTTTGCACATATTTTTTTACTTCTTGTTACCTTTAAAATACAATTATTTTAATTTAACAAAGGTGCACGCACGTCTCAGCTTCACGTCACTGCGGCATGGCTTGGACAAGCCTCGCCGAGTTGTACCTCATATCCTTAATATTTATAGGCCTTATTAACACATTGATTAGTGATTACTGCTAAGTAGAACTATTTTCAAATGCGTCTTATATTTCAAATTATGTATTTAATTTCGCCGATTTTTATTATGCAGAGAACAATGTACTTCTACTCGGAACCAACTATTAATTAATGTGTAAATAAGGCCTTAGAATAAGCGCAACGCGATCGACGTCTCCCCAAATATGTTGTCGGCGGTCTGCGTTATTTAGCCCGACCGCGGCCGCGCCGCCGCGGCCGGGCCGCCGCGGCCGCGCCGCCGCGGCCGCGAATTGTAGTTAACATGGTATAACATATATAATGTATGTATTTATGTATGTGTATACATATGTATGTATGTACACCGTCTTATATACTATGTATTTATTATTATATAATTATGGTAATTTATTGGTTGCAAGTCCTTCTTATTCCTGCTTAATATGCTTGTGTGAGACGGTATAGTTTTGAATAGCAACCTTTTGTTACAGGTAAAACTAAAATGAAGTCACAGAGATTAAAAAGAATCATTAACATGTCATTATTACCAGTAACAAATTCAGATCCACCAGCATCTGAAGCTGTACCCCAAAATCATAACGTAACCCTAAAATTGAAAAAGCAGCTAGATGATACATCCATTTGGATGCATGATATTACTTTGGAGGACATGAATTCCATAAAAAATAGTACATTTGAATTTGAAAATTCCCATTCTTATCATGTCTACAATTATGACACCTCTAAGCTTACTCAGTCTCTTATAGCTAAGGAGCAGACTGTCAGAATCACTGTAGGTGAAGAAGATCTTACATTAAATAATTTACTATGCGAAGAAGAAATGTTACCCTCGTGTCTCGATTATACTTTCCTAGAGAATTCAGACGATTCCGTTAAGGACAAAGATTACTTTGCTGATTTCGATTTACATGTAACATCATCTTCAAGTTCTTTTACTCTGAACGATATTGGTAATGATGATGAAAGAGAGACGAGAGACATTACGAACATTGAAAATGACCGAGATTTTATAAATGTATCCGTATCTCAGAGAAAGAAAACGTCTCTAACACAAATAAATAGAGCTAAACATGAAAAACTTTTAATTAAGTATCCTTTAAGAGAACCTTGTCACAATTTATGTAAAAAACTGTGTACTTTTAATTTTTCGGAAAAAGACAGACAGGACATTCATGAATACTATTGGTCTTTAGACTGGGAACATCGCGGTATTTATATCAAGAATTTAGTAACAGAAAAAGACTGTGTAAAAAAGGGGCCAGCAAAAACTTCTAAGAGAAAACGTCAGGTCACATACACATATAATTTTCCAAAAGACGAGGGTAGACTCGAAGTATGCAGAACATTTTTTTTGTGTACTTTAGGTTACGCGAAAAAAAATGATAGACATGTTCTTTCAGTTTTAAATAAATCAATTATTGCACAAAAGGATCAAAGAGATGGGCGCAACTTAAAATTGATAACTGTCGATAAAGAACTAATTACACAACACGTTGAATCTTTTAAGCCTTGTGTTCATCATTATAGAAGAGCTCATGCTCCAAATAAGAAGTACCTGCCTAGTGACTTAACAATAACAGATATGCACAAAAATTTCTTGGAAACCCACCCCGAAATAAAATGCAGCATAGAAACATATAGAAATCATTTGACAAACGTAATGAATATATCTTTTGCAAAACTCGGACATGAGGAATGCGAGATGTGTGAAACGTTTAACTTGCACAATTCTGAACACGTTAAAAATGGATATGATTCTCTTTGTGAGGTGTGCAATTCACATTCAAAACACAAACTTAAATACAAAAAAGCCCGGGAAATTTACGAAAGAGACGCAAAGGAACAATGCCAAGATGAAATTCACGTGTCTGTAGATTTACAGAAGGTGATAATGTTACCTAGAATAGACAGTTTTAAATCTACTTTATTTTGCCCAAGATTAGTGGTGTACAACGAAACATTTGTACCATTGGGAAAATTTAAAGACAGCGGCGTATTTGCGGCAGTTTGGCATGAAGGGATCTCGGGTAGAAAGCAGGAAGATATTGTGAGTACCTTTAGGGCTTTTTTATTAAATAAACGTGATGCAAAGAAAATAACTTTATGGCTGGACAATTGCTCAGCCCAAAATAAAAATTGGTGTTTGCTAACATTTTTAATTCAAATTATAAATAGTTCTGACATCGGTGCCACACAGATTGTGATAAAATATTTTGAACCAGGGCACACGTTCATGTCAGCCGACTCATTTCACCACTCTGTGGAACAATCTTTGCGAAAGAAAGGCAAGATTTATGATTTTAGGGATTTCGTCAACGCAGTTACACAGTCACTCAAGTCGGGAAAGGTAGTATCTAAAATAATGGAGGTTACAGATTTCTACAACTACAAATCACACGTTGCACAAAACAAAGTGAAAGATAAAGAGGGGAACAGGGTTTATTTAAGAGACATTGTTGAAGTTTTGGTACAAAGAGGAAAGCACTGCCTTTTCTACAAAAAAGATTTTAATGAAACTGACTATAGGCACATGTTTTGCTTAAAATCAAAAACCTTGCCAATCTTTTCTCAAAGAACGGGCCCTAAAGGTATCGATTTACAAAAGAAGCACAATATAATAAAACAATTAGGTACCTTAATGCCTGAAAATAGGTTGTTGTTTTGGAAAAATCTCCCTATTTCCAAAAACGATACAACAGATGAAATACTTGAATTTGATGTAGACGAGTAAAATTAGTATTTCATCTGTTGTATAGTACTTCCTCAGATTATAATACTTTTATCTATTTAATCTGAGAGTATTTTTTATACAAATAATAGAGACTGATTATTTTTAAGTTTTTCCTATTAAATTACTGATAGTGTCATTAATTAGTTTGTTTTGTTTTATTTTTGTGTTGAATTTTATTGCTATACTTTATCTGTAAGTTGTTGTTTCATCTTTTTTTTAGACAGTTTTTGTAAGACAAGAATACTCATTTATTTGTTATGTTTAGAAGAAAGATTTTATGTCAATTTTGTTGATTCATGCATGAAAAATACATGTATGTGATTTACTTTTATGGTGCATTAAGAAAATACACATTTTTATTAAAATTAAAGGTAATTTTATTTTACTACATGTGTGGAACATCAGGGTTTTGTTCAAAAAAACAGATTAAATAGCAGTATTTTCACAATATTACTGCACTTTAGTTAGTAATAATCATGGAAAAAATGTTTTAAATGCAGTAATAACAGGATTTACTGCATTTTAAACAGTTTTTGAAAAGATTATACAAATAAAGTTTGTGTAGTAATAGAGGCAAAAAAATTAAAATTGCCATAATTATAGTTTTTCATACAAAAACTAACGTAATAATGTTTAGTATTTTAGTTTAGTACATATACTTTCACCTTGCATTTAATGTTTTATCGAAAAGTCTCTTTTAGATATATTTTTATGGATTCTAAACTTTAAACGCGTTTTTCTCGAATTCGTGTTTTTGCTGTTACTGCACTTTAGGTTCGGGAGGGCAGCAGTGTGTAGTGACGTTTATTATTATCTGTGTTCAATGATCTATGGCAACCCTGTATAATAGACTTCCGTATCCGCACTTACTTTTTCTAATTTTGGACTCCAAGCCGACGTTAAATAATTCTTAATGTTAAAAAAGTTAAAATTGTTATTGTAGAATTAAATATTCGTTTTTGTCGCTTCCGATTTGTTTTATTATTAAACAAGTGGCGACCGTGACAGGACGATTAAGTTCCTACATATAAATAATTTATATCTAAAAACAAGAGTAAAGATAATTATTAATTAAAGTGTTTCAAATTTATATTATCAATCTATTTACATTAACATATTATAACTTACATCTAAAAATAAGGATAAATAATTAGTATTTGTATTTTACATATTATTGTTATATTTGTTTTATATTAGGTATTTTTTCTATCATCCTACATTTATCAATTTCAGAAAACAAAGCTGGCTTGATACTTTCTATCCCTTCTCCTTATTTAACTGGCTCGGGTAAGGCTACCTGCATAGATCAGATTATCAGATTCCCCGGAGATTGAAGTAAGGCAATTTTTTATAATTTACTATTGTTAATGCAAACATACAATCATGTCTGAGGTTAAACTGAGAGAACTCATTTTAAAACGAAGCTCAATAAAAGAACGTCTTACTAAATTCAAAAAAATTATAAATCAATATAAATTATTAACATCTGTAGACGAGATAGAAGTTGCTAAGTTGAATATTCAGTTAGGTAAGATTGAAAGTTTATGTAGCCTTTGAAGAGATACAAGGTCAGATTGAGGTATTGAATCCAACAAATTTAGATGAGGAGCTCGAGGAGCGTGACTCCATTGAGTTAGAATTTGCCACTTTAATAGCTACGGCCCAACAATTTCAAACCACTCAAGCAAGCAGTTCTAAGGTAGAAGTTGGCGGCTCCTCCCATTGTTGCCATGAGCAAACTGGTCTAGGTTTTAGGCCCCCTACATTGCAGATAGGAAAATTTGATGGGAGTTATAACAAGTGGCTTGAATTCAGAGATCTTTATTGTTCACTAGTTCATGATAACAAGTTCATACCTGCTCCGATCAAGTTTTGCTATCTAAACTCTTACCTGGAAGGTGAGGCCTCACGAGTAATCAGTAACCTCGAAGTAACTCAAGCGAATTACAATAAAGCTTGGGACCTGTTGTGCGAGCGCTATGATAACAAACGTTTGTTAATTAAAGGTCATTTAAATTCATTATTGAACTTTGATATTAAGTCAAGCGAATCTGATAAGGTGATTAGGTCTATAGTAGACAACATTAATAATAATTTGCGTGCACTTTCAAGCCTTGGTGAGCCCACAACATACTGGGACACTTTAATTATCCATATAGTTTCTTCAAAACTTGCAAGTCAAACTAGTATGAAGTGGGAAGAGTTCAGAAATTCGCTTCCTGACACTTCTTCTCTTGAACAGTTTAATAAGTTTCTTAAAGACCGTGCTGACATTATTGAAACTTACAACCATCCAAGGTCAAGCGGTAATACAAATAGTGAATTAAATAATTTTAATAAGAAGAAGCGGGCACATGCCAACGTTTTTGCTGCCAGAATATCTGAGCTGACTGAGACTGTTAAGGGTCACGCTCCCACTTGTGAGGTCTGTAAAGGCACACACCGAATTTATGATTGCGAGAATTTAAAAGTAATACTATTGAAGAACGACAGGCGCTAGTAACTAATTTAAGGCTTTGCCGCAACTGCCTCCGGAGGGGTCACGACGTATGTCGCGCGAGATCTTGTCGCAAATATAAAAGGCGTCACAATTCCTTAATTTCTAGCAACGGTAAACAATTATGCCCTCAGGGCAATGCTGCACCTGTAATAGAAAATGTGTCTCCTCCCGCAGCAGAGCTCACTGTTAACTTAGCTAGAGATAATGTCAATAAGGTTACTCTTCTGTCCACAGCCTTTTTTTTTTTTTTTGTTGACGCTGGGGAAACCCATCATGGGGACCCTACCGGCCGTCAATGGGTAGGGTACTGTGAGACTCCTACTCACTAAAACCCACAGCGGAACCCGTCGCCGCAGTGCAATGGGGTGTGCAGGATCGCTTGCGCATTCACTGCAACACCCCTGCGGAATTCTGTCCACAGCCTTGGTCGAGGCGGTTAATCCAGTTAATAATAAATCTGAAATCGTGCGCGTCTTATTAGACTGCGGCGCGGAGTCTAGCCTCATATCAAAGGGGTTGCAAGATAAATTTGATTTACAGTTAACACCGGTGGAGCCTATTAACTTAATAGGAATAGGCAATGCAATTTCTCACTGTACAAACAAAGTTTGTTCGTTTTATTTGAAATCTTTGCACAGTGACTATGTGGCGAAGTTGACATGTCCGGTACTACCGGAACTTACAGGTGACATCCCAAGGTTATCAATCAATACAAACAACCTCAACATACCTTCCGACGTTCAGTTAGCCGATACAAATTTTCATAAATCGTCACCAATCGACGTATTGATCGGCGCTGATCTATTTTGGCACATCGTAGGATGCGAACGTCGACCTTTAGGTTCAAACAAACCTTACCTAATCAATTAAGAGTTCGGCTGGATTCTTTCTGGCCCCATTTATATAGGAACTCGGCCCTCTAATTTTAATTGCAATTTCCAAGTTGTAAGTCCTCAAGCAGACAATCTCGACAAGTTGCTTATTCGATTTTAGGAGCTGGAAGAAGCCTCGCCAAAGAAATTACTAAGCCCCGATGAAAAGGCTTGTGAGGAACACTTCCAGGCTCATACAACTCGAGATTCCGCAGGCAGATTTTGCGTGCGCCTACCCCTCAAGGACTCACCTAGCTGCTTGGGAAATTCGTACATCACTGTCAGGAAAAGATTTTTAAACCTGGAGAAACGTTTTAGGGCACAACCCGAGCTCAAGGCTCAATACATTAAATTCATTAGCGAATATATCATGTTAGGGCACTGCACAGTCTTAAGCGGACCACGAGTGGAGCCGTCCTATTTCTTGTGTCATCATGCTGTCATTAAGGAACAAAGCGAATCAACCAAACTAAATGTGGTGTTTGACGCATCGTGTTCTACGTCGTCTGGTGTTTCAATCAACGACTTGCAATATATTGGCCCCACGATTCAAGAGACTCTGTTCTCCATTTTGTTACGTTTCCGTCAGTACCGATACGTCTTGACAGGTGATATTGAAAAGATGTTCTGCCAAATTCAGGTCCACGAGAATGACCGTAACTTGCAACTCATTCTCTGGAGAAGCGATGAACATAGTCCCCTGCAGACTTTGAGACTCAATACGGTAACTTATGGTTTCGCAAGCGCTAGCTACCTAAGCACTAAATGTCTATGGCGTTTGGGTGAAGAATGTGGGGATGGACGATCTCTTGACGGGAGCCGATTCTATACCGGATTTGCGTCATATTTTCGATACAGTCGTATCCGTTTAACGCTCAGGTTGTTTTCCACTGCGGGAATTCAAATCTAACGTACCTTCAATTTTCGAAAGTGCCCTGATAGACCCACAAGAAAATTTAACGCTAAGCGAATCTACTAGCATTTTAGGATTGCAATCGAAGCCTTCCACTGACACCTTGAATATCGTGGTAATCATTCCAGATCAGACAGGTGATTATATAACGAAACGGTCGATACTTTCACATTCATTTAAAATATTTGACCCCCTAGGCCTTATCAGCCCTTGTACAATCCGACCTAAGGTACTCATGCAGGAATTATGGCTTCGCAGCATTGGCTGGGACGAACAAGTACCTTGTGACTTGCAGCAAACATGGGATGAGTTAAAACAGGACCTGAGCAAGTTAGAGTTCGCTCAGGTTCCCAGGTTAGCCCTTTGCGACTCACCTGATAGCCTGGAGCTTCACTCCTTTTGTGATGCATCTGCTACAGCACATGGTTGTTGTCTCTATATGCGGTCCGGCAATGATAATGGACAGGTAGTGGTTAGATTGCTATGCGCCAAATCTAGGGTTAATCCCAACAAGCCGACTACGATTCCTCGTTTGGAATTGCTTGGAGCTTTACTAGCTGCTCGGCTGTGCAAATCTGTTCTCGAGTTCGTCAGTGCAAGATTTCACGTTGTGTCCATTGGAGCGACTCTAGCGTAGTGCTGGGCTGGTTACGCACCAACCCTAGCAAACTAAAGACATTGTTGCTAACAGGGTCGTAGAAATCTCCGAGACTACTTAACCAGAAAATTGGCGCCATGTGCCTACAGCCTGCAACCCTGCGGACTTGATATCTCGAGGCACCAGGGCTAGCAGCCTCCTGGATTCTGATCTGTGGTGGTCAGGTCCAGAATTTTTAAGTAAGGCAGAACCATTTTGGCCAGTCATAGGAGAGCAGGCTGAACGTGAACTACCTGAAATAAAAATTCATTCTGTTCAAATTTCTGAAAATTTAATACCTTTTGAAAGATTTTCTAACTTAATTAGGTTGAAACGTGCGTTTGCGTTTGCTTTACGTTTCATACACAATGCTAGAAGCCCTAAAACAAAACGAGTTTTGTTTTTAACAGTCGAAGAATTAGGTCAGTCTTTTACGCAGCTTTGTAAATTCGCTCAGCTTCAATCATTCTCAAATGAATATCATGCTTTAGCTAACAGTCGTAATATTTCAGCTCAAAGTAATCTCAAATCGCTCAGTCCTTTTTTAGATAAAGATGGCGTCATGCGTGTTGGTACTTGGTGGTAGGCTAGAACATTCAGAATATGGCTATGACAAGAAGCATCCCGTACTATTACATTCAAAGCACCACTTATCAGATCTCATTTTTCGGTATGAGCACATTCAACACATGCACGCAGGTCCTCAGTTATTATTGTACACAGTACGAAATTATGTGTGGCCGTTGGGTGGAAGACAGCTGGCACGCCGAACGGTACGCAACTGTGTAAAGTGCAGACGTTGTCAAGGAAAAACAGTTACACCATTAATGGGCCAACTTCCGGCACAACGCACTATGCCAACATTTCGACGCTTAAGAACCAAGACCATCTATCTACACTTTTGGCGATTTTTACTTTTTAATGCAGTTCTTTTTACAATAAATTTACGCTTCGTTTTCTTTAATCAGCTACCTCAAATTCGCAATCAATAAGGAGTTATGAGAAAATACCAATACCACCTAAATTACGTTACGAAAAAAAATTATGGAAATATCACCTATCTACACAGTACGCGTGCTTACTCGCCCGTTGCGAGTTGCAAAGAACCGTTATGTGTTCGAATGCGTGGTAACGCTTTTAGAAAGAGAGGGGTTGCGAATCTTGGCGGGCGGGGGTGATGTTGCGGGGCGGTTTGTTGACACTTCTAATAGTTAGCTCAAAGCAGGTTGTGACATGCGTTAAATGTGGTGTTTTTTATTGTGTGACGTTGTAATTAGTGGCTAATTTGGTGAAATTCAAAGGAAAATTTACGTGAAAAGTAAGTAACAACATTGTTTATTTTAATTTTATTAATATTTACCAAGAATGATGCAATAAAAAAGTTTCGACATCATTTGTATCCGTTTTAAGTGAGAAATATTATACATTTTGTGGCGGCATGTCTTAATTTTTACATTATTCTTACTACTTTATTCTAATTGTATTAATTTTTAACGAGTTAAGTATTTTAACTAACCTACCTACTCATTGAAATATAATAAATGTAAGATAGGCGTTATTGAAATCAAAATCGAATCTTGTTGATGTAGATAGGCGATATTGAAAGAAAAATTTGTTCGTGTCAACATAGTCTAACAGGTCTAAACCTGTTAGATAGTCAAAATTCTTAGTCTTTTTGCTATAAATACATTATTTAGTGGACTGTGTGCCTCGTTGCTGGCACACTGTCTACTAAATATTGTATATAACAAATCTAGTTATTAATCTGTTCAAGTAGTAAGCAATATAATTTTGTCTACAGTTAAAATGTCGAAAAGGTACCAAGGATGGAGAGCTCGTCGAATTTTAGCAGAAATAAAAGATAAAGATAATAGCGCTAGTAAGTTAAAAATATATTTATTTACTTTAGTCCTATTTTATTCACTCGATTTTTATTAGATAATTCTTACCTTAAGAGCCTACCTAGTAATTTCAGATGACGACTTTCGTGGTGCTGTGTGGGTAGATTGTGATAGAAATTTTGTTTTTCAGAAGTATGGCAGTATCCAGAAGTCTGAAAGTGATGAGAATTCCAAATCTGTTAATGGAACTATCTCAAGTAGCATGCATACTCACCTGCTGGAACTAATTGGAAATAACTCTAAGAACTGTATGATCTCGAATTGTTTCTTGAAGAAACACGTTTCTTTATCCGATTTAACTTCTGACACTCAAGAACAAAAAGCTTTTAACAGAACAAGAAGTCTATCAGCTCCGCCTTCTCTTCATTTTCATTTTGCTCCTGTTTCTAAAAGTCTTTCTGTTCATTCAGCTGTCCACTTTACTAATGAAGACAGCGATGCGACTTATTGTGAAAGTGAGTCTGAAAAAGACTCTTCAGACGATTTTGGAGATATGAATGAAGGACGAAAGCGGCGTCATATCCGAGACGAAAATTCTTGGAAGAAAAACAAAGCCAAGAAACTTCGCATGCTTGGTGAAGAATATGTTGGATACAGGAAACCTAAAGGATGCAAAGCGACACAAGATCAAGTTCGTTTAGCAAAAATTTTAGGACCACCATGTACGTCCAGTTTTTGTCAAAAGAGTAAGTTGAGAGGTTGCCAAAGGTTTGAAGAGGAGACTAGGAAATCCATACACGATAAATTCTGGAAAACGATGAACTGGGATCAACGTAGAGTTTATGTAGCTGGTCTTGTCACGCGCTCTGCTCGATCCCGCCATACAAAATCTGCTTTGGAAACTTCACGACGAGAAGGCACATTTAGCTATTATTTGCCGATAGAATCGGACGTGAAAGTCCAGGTTTGCAAAAGAATGTTTTTAAGTACGTTATCGCTTTGTTCTACTGCCGTGCAGTCTTGGGTAAAACAAGCAGAATTTGCAATGGTGCCCAATCAAAATTTTCGTAATTCTAGAGCAAGCAGCAATGTTGACAGGAAAACCATAACGTTGCGTAATTTTTTTGACAATCTTCCTAAATTACCATCTCATTATGCAAGAAAAGTAACGACAAAATTATATCTGGAACCCGTTTACCATTCAATTTCTCAATTATACAGAACGTACAATAAATTTTGTACAGAAAGCGAAGAGCCTTCAGCCAGCAGATTTACATTTGACAAGGAATACAATAAAAAAAAACTTAGCGTTTTACGTATTAAAAAAAGACATGTGTGACACATGCGCAAGTCATAAAACTGGAAATTATGATGAACATGATTTCCAAATGCACATACTGAGAAAAAATCGAGCACGACAGGAAAAGGAGGCGGACAAAAAACTTGCTATTTCTGGAAAATTCATACTGCTCACCATGGACTTGGAAGCAGTTAAAGTTTGTCCATATTTAACGGCAAGTGCTCTTTATTTTAAAACGAAATTGACCTGCCATAACTTTACCATCTTCAACCTAGCTACAAGGCACTGCAAATGTTACTGGTTCACCGAAACAGCAGGCGATTTAACGGCTAGCACATTTGTTTCATTTGTAATCGATTATTTGGAAGTTCATTGTCTGCCCAAACAGTTACCCATTGTGATATATTCAGATGGTTGCACATACCAGAATCGGAACACTGTGCTTTCCAATGGTCTTCTAAATTTTTGCATCAAGCACAATGTCACCATAACCCATAAGTACTTAGAACCGGGTCACACACAAATGGAGTGTGACTCGGTTCACAGTGCCATCGAGCGAAAGCTCAAAAACAGGGAGATTCATCTTCCGAGTGATTATGTGTCTGTTACCAAAGAAGCTCGCACTAAAGAGCCCTATGAGGTAGTTGAAGTTGACTACAACTTCTTTAAAAATTATGCTGAGTCTTCTACTTTTTAATATAAAAGTATTCGACCAGGACGTAAAGCTGGCGATTCTGTTGTCACAGACCTGCGTGCAATGAAATACACACCAAATGGTGACATCCTGATAAAACTTGATTTTGATGAAGATTGGAGGGCTTTGCCTCAAAGAAAGTGCAACATTAACACTCCTGTGGTTTACTCGCAATTACATGAAAGTCCCCTACCAATTTCGTCAACCAAATATAACCATCTTCAGCAATTAAAAGATGTTCTACCAAAAGATTGTCATCCGTTTTATGATGCGTTGCCGCATGTTTAAATTTTTAATAAATAAAAATGTTTCATGACTAAAATTGTATAATTATAAGTTTGTTGTCTAAACAACTATCTTAAGCATTAAAAGATGTTCTACGAGTACATAGTCATCCGTTTCATAATAAAACTGTTTTTCTGTGTAGAATATGATAAATATAAAAGGTTGTCGTTTCAATTAAAGTGTTTAATACTTAATGTTTAAATTTGTTTCACTTGCCAATACCACCTATCTTACAGTGAAATTCACAAACATTTGCAAATATTTTAACTAATACCAGCTATCTACAGTAATTTCGAAACTAATAAAGCTTTCTTGAAATACATGTAAACATCTTATTTCCCACGCCTGTCTAGTAAATGTTCAAACTTAAAAATAAAGAAATTGTTTTTAAAAAAAAATCAAACGTTTTTTTCGTCTCCTGTAAAGTCAACTTTTTGTAGATAGATGGTCTTGGTTCTTAAGCGTCGATTTCCTTTTCAAACAACTGGCGTTGATTTCGCAGGTCCGTTTACTATTTTAAATCGCAAGGGTCGCGGATCAAAGACTTCCAAATGCTATTTGTGTCTTTTTATTTGCTTCAGATATAAATGCGTTCACTTAGAAGCAGTAACCGAACTTTCTAAAGAATCTTTTATATTAACGTTACGTAGATTCATCGGACGCCGGGGTAAACCTCTTGAACTTTATAGTGACAATGGGAGGAACTTCGTCGCTACTGCCAAGAAACTCGCTAGTTTTTTAAAAGACGGACCAAACCTTGTATCTGACTTTTCCGCTGTCGAACAAATTAAATTTCACTTCATCCCTGCCTACGCCCCAAATTTCGGAGGCTTATGGGAAGCAGGTATCAAGTCAGCTAAACATCACATAAAGCGCGTTGTAGGTAGTTCCAATTTAACTTACGAGGAGTTTTCCACTTTGGACAGGCGGAGGCTATTCTTAACAGCCGACCTCTTTGTCCCATATCATCTTCTCCTGATGACCTCCAATCCCTTACCCCAGGGCACTTTCTGATTGGTAGGCCATTAACGTCGCAGCCAGACTCGACACTTGAGGCAGAGAAGGCATTTAACCTGCAGCGTTACGCGCGAGTGGAGCAAGCCCGCCAGCATTTCTGGAGACGCTGGCAAAATGAATAGCTGCAGCTCCAGCAGCTGCAGCATCAGCGAGCTGCAGCAGCGCACGAAGTGGCGTACCAACAAGAGCAACATCCTACGCGTGGGTGACTTGGTTCTTCTGCAGGAAGAGAACTGTCCTCCCTTGCATTGGCGGTTGGGACGTGTGAAGCTCCTGTTTCCGGGAATAGATGGAGTGGCCAGAGTAGCGGAACTCTCCACACAAAAGGGGGATGTACGCAGAGCTGTAACAAGGCTCTGCCCTCTGCTCTGCGAAGAAGAAAACGTAATACCCAGGGTATTCCAGCGGGGGGAGTTCTGTACGCGCCCTTTGCAGACCCAGTGTGTAGTGACGTTTATTATTATCTGTGTTCCGTGATCTATGGCAACCCTGTAAAATAGACTTCCGTATCCGCACTTACTTTTTCTAATTTTGGACTCCACGCCGAAGTTAAATAATTCTTAATGTTAAAAAAGTTAAAATTGTTATTGTAAAATTAAATATTGGTTTTTGTCGCTTCCAATTTGTTTTATTATTAAACAAATGGAATGCAGCTAACTTCATCATGTCGCTTTTTGGCTGTCGGTGTGCGCGCGCATCGTAAAAATTTTACTCACAATTTTTTTTCCAAACGTGCCAAAAGTATAACTTCAAAAATAAGCTAATATTTTGCACTCTTAAAAAAGTATATAATATTATTTTTATTATTCAAATTTTATCGCCAAAAATTATATATTAATTCCACTAATATGTACCATAAGCAGCAAATCACGCTACTATTTTTGACTTTGACATTTATTTTGGCGGACTTCATTTATTATATACCATAATACGCTTTATACATTTCAACAACTATAATTACTAACAATTAACTATAATTATAAACAAATTTCATTACAAATATATTATCACTACTATCTATATACACACAATTTAATATATAATAAATAAATAAGCCGTGATTTTCAACAAAATCTTGTATAAGCAGACAGACAAAAAGATCCTTATCAATATACAAAAATACCTTATGCGCGCATATGAACTCACGGCCTCCAGGGTAGTGAGCAATGCCAACCACACTAGCACTGTACCAGTGGATACTATTTTAATAGATAGTTTTTTTATTTGAACAAATAAGCACTAAGGCAGGGTATTATATGCATTTTTATATAGAAATATTATTTAAGTACCGTCTCGCTGTCCGCATTCTGGCAGCAGCTATGCTGTCGAAAACCCACTTCGAGCTGACTTCTCCAATTTCCCGCCCAATTGTTATGTCAAACATTGGTTGTCCGCCATTTTGTGTTGCTTGTGTCCCGCCATTTTGCGTTCTCGTGCTTTTTGACGTTTGTTTCTGTGTTACATGATTTATTTTTATTGTATCATTAATAAATAATCCATACATATAATAAAATTCTGAGTCGAATCTGTACATTATTTGTTGGAAAATCTTATTGAAATATTCATTATTATAATCGATACAGAGACCGAATCTATAGTTTTTAGATTTTTTGTCTGTCTGTTTGTCAGGGAACCCATTATGAGAAAACCACTGGACAGTTTGATAAAATTTGGTATGATGATAGCTGGTTATCCGGGTCAACATATATGATACTTTTTAACTCTTCCTCGCTCCCCACGTGTTCGTATTATAAAAATTTATATATAAAAACATAAATACAAATTTCCTAACAAATGCTCTTCAAAAAGTGGCGTCGTCATGTGACGTTAAGTCAAACCAAAGATTAACATTCAAAAATCGAAAATTCGAACTTACGCACACTACATAAAGTACTTTTTTGAACGAAACAACATGCATTATAATTTTGTAATTCGAAAATCAATGAATAGTTGTGCACTTTTTTTGAGGACGCTTTTGAGACGCTAATTGTATAACTTGAGTTTTATATCAATGCTTTTGAAACAATAAAAAAAATACCTTTTTCTGCGATTTTCCGCGCTTTTGCAAAGTTAAGCCGCTATTTTGTTGTTCCAATCCGCCATTTTGTTGCTCCAATCCACCATTTTGTTGTACATTCTCGCCATTATCGATGACCGCGCCACAGAGTGTTAGCAATTGTTTGACGGCGTCTTTTTGTTCTGCATTTTCGGAAACCCTCACTCGCATTCCGTTGAAAACGTCGTAAACATAATCTGAAGACATCTTGTTTAGAGCTAACCGTTCTATTCGAGCTTTCTGTAAAGTATTTTTGTTTTACAAAAATCAAAATAAATCCGCGAAAAAAATCCGAAAAGATAGATTTATTTAAAAAGATTTTTTTTTATTAAAATGGTTATTTCACTTTAACTTAAACAAAATTTTTGCAGGAATAGATTAGTGAAGCCAAATAAGAGAGAAGTGGTCTTATTTTTATAACATTTTTACTAAAAACTTTAAAATCACTTAAAAAGGAAAAATTACATCCTTAAAAGCAGATCTTTTTTCTAGAAATTAATATAGGACCAATAAATAATCGACTCTTAGTTAGCAAAGATGTCATACAACATTATAGGTATATAAAAATAATAATCGAATACTCAATCAATTCTTTCTATAAACTTTCTTTGTCGAAGTGAACTCAAAACCTAAAATTTGTGTTTATATATTTTGAATTTTAACATATTAAATAAAGTATAAAATTGTTATATAATTGTTTTTTAGTGTGATTTCTTTTTGATTAAGAAAATCATTATTTAAAAGTATGAATATATATAGGTGGGAAATTCAAAGTAGTTGAAACGCACGTCTTTGGTCAGACCGAATATGACGTCGGAGTATATTATATAGGGAATATATAAATATAGGGAATGACGGGCATTCAAAGTATCCTTAACGGTACGATACTTCAAATTTTTTGATGCTAAATTTTAGTTTTTTGGAGCTGGATAGTTTATTTTATATATAGTATAGATATAACGATATTAGCTATTGTATAAAAATTGAAACAAAAAAAAAACACGCAAATTCTTATAGCCACCTAATAACAATTACAAAAGATTCAATAGTACCCACATTTATTTATAAAAAGAAATCTACGTTTAAATACAAAAACCATACAAACCTGTGAAATCTTCAACAAATGTGGTACTTCATAACCCAAATGGTGTATCCAAGAGTTAGCTTTTACCGAATCAATTACCCATTGTGCATATAAAACTCTACATCCTCTCACCGCTCCCAATAAAGCGTTAACAGTCCTTGGCTTAAAATTTCTATCATCTGTGGTAATAATATTTTGTGAATTATCATTCCTCTGTTCCTCATTTACTCCAATAATATGTCCATCTTGAACGTTATTTGTATTTACATTAGTAAAAATACTTTGTGAATTATCAATCCTCTGGGCGTTAAAATTTAGATAATCAATTCTATTCCCTTGGTTATTTCTCTTACTTGGGGTAATAAGACTTTGGGAATTATCAATCCTCTGGCCATATTGTGTATTCTCAATGTTATCATTTTGATTATCATTTCTTTTACCCTGGTTTGTCTTATTTCTCTTATTTGGCGTAATATTGTGTGAAGCCTCAGTCCCCTGTCCAGATAACGTTTCATTTTGACTCAACACATTAACTCCTGATATATTGCAATTACAAATTGTATTTTTATTTATTTCCTTTACTTTATTTGTAACAGTGACATTATTTGCGAACATTTGAGTAAGTATTCTCTCTGGACTATTACATTTTTGACACATAACTATACAATTTGGTGGAGTTTTCTGTTTGCCTGTCTGTTTGTTTATTGTAGAAGGTATTTCAGGTTCTCTACACGAGCCCATGATTATGTGGGTCGTCTTTTTATTTACGTGGCTTTGAACGACGCCGTTTAATTTTTGTACTGCGTGCCATATGTCGTGTCGTTCCTTTTTAGACATTCCTGTCAGCACCTGTAACATAATAAATATGATATTTGAAAAACAAAACAAAACAAAAAAAAAGTTAAATGCCTATATTGTTATGATTTACATTATATGTATGTTTGTACAAAATATTTTAACATATTAAATGTACGTACTAGGTATGTACATATTTTAAAAAGGCGATTGTAGAAATAATATTTTTCGACCCTTAGTGGTGGAATCCTATCCTTTTTGAAATTTATATAGGATCACGCTTAACATATAAGTTATTAAAAAAATCTGTTAATCTACCCACAATTATTAACCAAATTAGCCAGGGGAATGACAATATTTACTTAAAGTTGAAAAATTTTTAAAAAGCTAAATAAATATAATGCATAATACTTACAATTCTTGGTGCTTTATTATTTTTCACATCAGGTTTTTGCTTGGGCGTACCGAGCAGTCGCCGCGCGAGGCGTTCCGCGCGCACCAGCTCTCTCTTGCCGTCTCGTGTTATGTGTTTTACCGTTTTTTGTTTAGGCGGAGGTGTTTCTTTATCTGGTATTGTAATTTAAAAATTATATATTAATACGTAAAGAGAAATATTCGTAGTTTTTAAGAATATCGCTAGATACGTCTTATGTCCTTCTCCAAGGTTTCACCTTGCCTATCTCTCCCTCTCTCTCTATTGTTCTCTATGCCGAAATTTATTAAAATTGGTCTAATAGTTTAGGCGTGAAACGTAACAGACAGACAGAGTTACTTTTTCATTTATAATATAAGTATGGATAATACATATTTTGTAAACAATCAGTGCTGTTTTGGCAATTTTTAAAAGTAGTTTTTATAATTATAGCAGATCACTATACCATTATTTATTTTGATAGTGTAGTGAATACCTATAATAGATCTACATAGAATATCTTAACAGAAAAACTCAGCGATTAAACTTGGTCCTACAAAGGACTCGAACCCAGGACTTCCAGATCTGTCCTACATGCTAATCACTACACCACTGAGGCAGTTAAAAGGTCCATAGTATGTATACTGTCGGTGTTCCTAATAAATAAGACTCACCTGTTTCATTCCCACTAGACGCAGTTTGTGCTTCCTTGTGGGTGAACAATTTCCTTCTGGACTTCTTCTGTCGCGGCGGAGACAGTGACATGGGTAACGCCCTGCGAGGGGCTGTGTTCACGTTCCTTTCTATATCTATAAAGAAAACATTTTTTGAGGTTATTCATTTATGTATTTTAGTATTAAAGGCTCTTTTTAACGTTCTACTGCTGGGCTTGACCTTTCAATACAAGAGCGACCAGGTCATAGCGGACGGATTTAGATCTAGTTCCGTGATCAGGTCCCAATGCGTTTACCTTTATTGCGGTGGGAAGCTCATTAGCGTCCGGCAGTTCAGCCGGGCGCGAAGCCAAGAAATGCACATAGAGGTGACACACTTCGGTGGGCGGTGTACCATGCAGGTTGCTCCTGGTACTTCTCTGATAGCAGAGTGGACCTTGGAGTAACCCCGTGGTGGTTGTGGTCTACTTCGGCAGACCTGCCGTCGGGGCGTCGTGGTTGAGTGTGATAGATTATTATTAATTTTACAGTATTTTTCTATATAATAATCTTTTTTATTATTATTTTTAATTTTACTATAGGTACTTATAAATAGTTTTTTTATTGGCAACATTTTATTTGAAATCTTTAAAAAGTTTATGATTTGACATAACGGCTCGATACGATGTTATAAATACCCTGTGTTCGTTAGCGAATCACTTTTTCTTTGGCGAGCAGTTGATCAGGACAAAGATAAGTAGCTTTGATAATTGTTTAAAGTATAAGGTTTCTATTTATAGTATTTTTGCTGATATATTTTCTTCGGTTATTCTAAACTATTTTGTGATATTTTGTGATGATAATAACTACAGTAATATAAATTAATTGTTACAGTTTCCTTTGTCTTATTTACCTACCTCCATATATATAAAAATGATAATTATAATCGTTTCCTCTTAATATTAATGTAATATTGGGTAGTTTGAATTTTTGTTATCTCTATATTTTTAAAGAATCTATTATCAGAAGTGGGATAGTGTCCACTGTTCTAATATGTATTATAATTGCAGATGGATCTCTTTGCATCTCGGCTTTGCAAGAACTTCTCAAGGCAATCAAGGATGCTGTTTCCGGAACTCTGCGGGAAGACGACGACGTTGCTTTGCTGATTTTCTACCCGGCCACGAGTGACCTGGGTGCCGAGTCCTGGTGCAGCAACATCGACTTCCTCGCGGGGGAATTTGGCTGGAGCAGTATCGCAACCGTTGCTAAAGAAGGTAAGGCCCTAAAAGGGTCTGCGTTACTGTGGTTTGAAACTTGGGATACTGCAGCCGGCCGTTTGTGGAAGAATCTATGTAAAGAATTTACAGCTTTGTGTCCCGATCAAAAAAAGTCTTGTATACTTCCGAAAGTACAGATTCCTATTGCTAATACGCAAAGGAAAAAAATATATTAAAGTATTACGTAATACAAATATAGTTAAGAGTTGCAATTATGTAGTTAAATTAGTATGTGGTAGTATATTTGACGTTAATGTAAGAATGGCATCATTTAACTGTAGTTTCAAAACTATATACATTTAAAGTAATTTGTTTGTTCACTTCATATGCAAAAACAAAGAAACGACCTTTAGAGCAAAGCGGTAGGGATTGTAAAATTTTTTCTAATTCTAACCTTGCTAAACGAACTTAAATAGATACTAGATCAAACGATATAAAATGTTATTCATGTGACTAATTAGGATAAACAAGACCCCAATGCTTAAAACTGGACGCTCAAACTAACGTCGATACATAGGAACATAAAACGTTAGATTTTGTTGACATGTATAAATACGAGTATAAACCTAAAAATGATAATTATACTACTAAAATTGGAAATGAGGTAATTTTTTTTAAATTGGAATTAATTTTAACAAAAGTATCTATTTACGATATAACAATCAATTCGCTTATTGATACTGGAGTTAATTGCAGTATAATTAAAGAGTGTGTGTGTGTGTTTGTCTTGGTAGCAATTTTAGCCCATGCTATTTATGTATTTCTGGAATAGGTGACGGTAGTCTAAAAGTATCTACACAAATAACATCAACAGTTTGATTTGAGGATTAATGTATTGAATTGAATATGTATATGGTCGAAGATATCGATTCTGGTTACTATATTTTAATTGTTAGGAGGCTGTTCTGTTTAATCCTGATATCGATATCATCACTGATTGTTTAGGTTCTCGTTTGGTACGAAAAAATATACCTAAATCGAGTTATAAAATAAATTTACTACAATTTTCAATGGCAATAGCTCATTTAGATATAGAATTTTGGGATAGGATTAAAGCCATTTTTTCATAAATATCCTTCGGTTTTACAAGACACTAGATTTGTTAAGATTGGGAACCTTGAAATAAAATAAAAAAATAGAGCGCAGTATTTCTCGTTTCCTTACTGGTATGACAGTTTTTTATTGAAATATAAATTTTTCATTTTTTCAAGTTTACTCAGAGAAAAAAGGATGCTCTGGTCCTAATCAAACTAAAATAAATTCAACAAGGACTACTACATCAGATTGATAATACTACTATTCTCTTTGAAACAATACATTTAGAGTGCACTGGCCCCTTTCAAGCAACCAAGGAAGGGTACAACCATGTTCTATTATTGGTAAACGGGTTCACCACATTTTGTTTATTGAAACCTCTTAAAATACTAAATGCTATTACGATAACTATTACGATATTTGTTACACCTTCATTAGTTGTCACTGATCGTTGAATAAATTTTAACTCTAATAAAATTCAAGCCCCTTTTCGTGAGTTACATATCGAACATCACCTGATAGCTACTGGTACACCTAGAATTAGCAATGGGCAGGTTGAACGTTATGTATCTTCAGTAATTAATATGTTGAATACTATGTGTAATGAGTTATCAGAGTGGCCGAACGAAGTATGGAAGGTACAGCAATCTATTACTTATACTAATGTACAAAAATCGACGGGAGTTTCTCCTTTTCGCTTGTTGATCGGGGTAGAAGCAAATATTTATTTATTTAGGATCACTAACATGATATAAAGTAACTTAACAAAACGTACTTATAGGTAACCACGATATGCGTAAACAGTTACACGGAACATTTTAAAATTAAAAAATAACAGCACTATAATCTATAAAAAAATTATCAAAAACATTATTATAATTAGTTACTTAAAGCAACAAAAGAAGAAAGGAAAAAAAGCAAATAAGCAACACAATAGATATAAGCTATCACCATAAGTAAGTTTAATATCAGAGACTTAAATTTTTCTAATTTTATTGGAATGTCGATATCAGTTTCTGTGTATGTTTAACTCTGTCTTTATATGTTAGCAGTTGTTTAATTAAATTTTCGCTATAGCAAAGGTGCCAGAGAAATGTTTTTTGAATTCTTTCAATATTCTTTTTTAATATTTAGGATTCCAAATAACACTGCAATATTCAATGGACCTCCTAACTAATCTTTTGTAAATTAAAATATACTAGTGGTGCAAGTTCGATTAAATTATGTTCTCGATGACGATAACTTAAAGAGCCTTAAATTGATGTGAGAGCTGATCAGGCTAGTCAAATATTACAACAAGTCGCGGAAAAATTTAAGCTACGTTTTGATTCGGTTAGAAGAAACACTAAAATTTATAAGGTAGGTTATTTAGTTTATGTTAATCAGGATAATAGATGTAATGACAAAGTAAAAACCGAAATTTAAGGGTCCCTATGAAATTCTTTCGATTCTTTCCAATGACCGCTATGCTCTGAAGGGTCCAGGTAATTTTAAGAAATATAATTGTTGCAAAAGAAGATTTGCGATTTTAGCCTGGAGAATGGGTGGAAAGAAATATACTGTTGAAAATGCTATCTAAAAATAATATTAAATTTGTAAAGGTAATAATTATGTTATATTAACTAATAAATACCAATTTATTAGTTAGGTAATTAAGGTTGTGCTATTAATTTTGTTTGTTTTTTTAAATAATATGTAAAACTAGCATTGCTCGCGGCTCCTTCCGCGTTCTGATGACCCAAAAACCAAATGTTTAGGTTTTACATATTACTATACTCTTACATTGCAGTTTTCGCATTTTTTTCTCAGAGATGTGATATTTTCTTTTGGAGCTTTCTTTTGAAGAGTATAAGTAACCTATATGTTTACCCGTATATGTTTATCACCATACCAAATTTCATCAAAATCCCTCCAGTGATTTGTCTGTGATGCGGTAACAGACAGACAGACAAAAATTCTAAAAACTATAGATTCGGCCTCTGTATCGATAATAATGTTTATTTTTATAAGATTTTCCAAAAAATATTATACATATGTATAGATTTGGCTTGGTAACAATTTTATTATATGTATGGAATATGGATATATATTTTAAGTTTGTATGCACAATAATGGTGAAAAAAAAAAGAAATGTTAACCGCTGGTTAGTCGTACCTTGGTGCTGATTAGTCTCATCGACAGCGGGTGAAAGGAATCAGCATGTCTAGGGTACAGGCTTAGTTATTAGCACTTCCGCTGGTCGGCCTCCTATTTGGTACCAATTGATCTCACAAGCAGCGGGTGAATGTGATTGGTATGTCTATGTAGTTGGCAAGTGTTCGCTGTTACTACTTGTTTGGTGTTAGTCTATCTCAACAGCAGCGGTTGAAGGGGACTGACATGTCTATGCAAGTAGCTATGTACATTGTACATGATGTGTTGATATAACAAGAGTTATAGATGATGTTATAAATATAATATTAATGCAGCTGTACATCGGAACATTCTTAGTGTAAATACTTTATGTGTTGTTAGTATATATACGTAATGTGTTGATCTGTATAAATTGTAATACTAATTAGTCTTAGAAATAACCCTGAAGTATAATTGTATATAACGATAATATAATGAAAGAGTCAGTGTGTCATAGTAGTACTTCGTGGACGAAGTACTGTCAGTATGGCCGTGATAGATTATTATTAATTTTACAGTATTTTTCTATATAATAATCTTTTTTATTATTATTTTTAATTTTACTATAGGTACTTATAAATAGTTTTTTTATTGGCAACATTTTATTTGAAATCTTTAAAAAGTTTATGATTTGACATAACGGCTCGATACGATGTTATAAATACCCTGTGTTCGTTAGCGAATCACTTTTTCTTTGGCGAGCAGTTGATCAGGACAAAGATAAGTAGCTTTGATAATTGTTTAAAGTATAAGGTTTCTATTTATAGTATTTTTGCTGATATATTTTCTTCGGTTATTCTAAACTATTTTGTGATATTTTGTGATGATAATAACTACAGTAATATAAATTAATTGTTACAGTTTCCTTTGTCTTATTTACCTACCTCCATATATATAAAAATGATAATTATAATCGTTTCCTCTTAATATTAATGTAATATTGGGTAGTTTGAATTTTTGTTATCTCTATATTTTTAAAGAATCTATTAAGTGCATAAGCAATCCTGCCACGCCCCATTTAGACGGGGGAGGTTGTTGGGTTTTAGTGGGTAGTACTGGCACAACCACCTGTACGCATGCAGGTGGTATGCCTAAATTCATTTCTCAACGTTAAAAAGAATCCCATGATTAGGTCATAGGTCAGACTTTACATGTCTTTCGAGAACTTATTAGATTCTCTCAGGCATTCCTCACTATGTTTTCCTTCACCGTAAAGGAAGTGGTATTCATATTGAAATTCGAGATGCGAGACCCGGGATTTGAACCCGCTTCACTCGGTTTCCACTACCATTTCGCCCTTTTTAAATGAAATTTACGATTCAAAAGTGCTTTTATAAGTCTAATTGAATAAAGTTTAATTTCATTTCACTTTACCTGCATCTTCCGACTTGTCGTGAGATGTGTCGTGCGATGTGTCGTTAGTCGTGTCGGTCGTGTTGTCCGTCTCACTTGAGATCCTGAGCCGCGGACGCTTGTCTCGTGCTTCTTGGCTCTCTGACAATAAATTCAATGGTATGTTCTCTTGATCCATCCTTTTCTGAAAGTATTTGAGGTTTTTACTAGTAATATAGATAATATAATATAGACTGAGTGTCATAAAACTAATAATAATGTCCTTCCGACCGATTTCGGCCATGGCGGCCAATCTCACCGAGACTAGCCAGATGCCCAGGACATTTTTAGTGTACCATTGTACGAGCAGACACAACGTGCACTGTCTTTTTTAACCCCCGGTGCAAGAGGAGTATAGTTTGATCTGTCTGTGTTTGTGTGTCTGTATGTGGTGTCGTAGCTACTAAACGAATGGTCCGATTTTTTGCGGTTTTTTCGTTTGAAAGCTGACATGATCCTATCAAAGTCCGATGGGACGATACTTCGACACTCGCGGTGTATTTTAAAATAATATTTATATGTTTTAAAATAGTTTACAAATGAGAATTGTATACTGAGTGGTAAGTAAATAGAAATATCTAACGGATTTTAATACAATAAAGAGCAAAAATTAAATAAGCTTAGATTATGCTATCTCTCTTTCAATGGGAAGAGAACTAATGCTTAAAAAATACAAAAGAATGATGATGTTCTCCTAGCCGATTCCGGCCACAGCGGACAATCTCAATGAGATTAGCCAACTGCGCAGGAGATATTATAGTGCTCAAGTGTACGCGCAGACACAAGTGCACTCTCTATTCCTATCACTCTCATACTCCGGTGGGACGACCACTCGACACGACCGGTGAGAGTTAAGGCGCAGGACCGACGGCTTTACGTGCTCTCCTAGGCACGGGGGTGAAACACCGCCAACTTCCCAACTCCGGGCTGTTACTGAGACTTACTATACAGGAAGACTCAATAACTAAACTTGGCCCGACCCGGGACTCGAACCCAGGACCTCCGGGTGTGCAGCCGTACATGCTAGCCACTACACCACCGAGGCAGTTTACAAACACAAAAAACAAAAGAATATAGTATTATTTTTATCACTTTCACTCAAAATTCAAATTTTCTATCACTCAAAAATTGTATATTAATTCAACAAATCCTACTAATATTATAAATGCGAAAGTTTGTGAGGATGTATGAATGTCTGGATATTTAGATGTATGGAAGTTTGTTATTCTTTCATACAAAAACTACTGAATGGATTTAAATGAAATTTACAATAATATAGGTCATACATAAGAATAGCACATAGGCCACTTTTTGTCCCGGAAAAATGTACGGTTCCGGTCGGATAGATTTGTTTTTATTTTTCTATAGACCAACCCGAGCAAAGCGAGAGTGAGTCGCTAGTACCTATATAAAATTTCCCTTATTCTTTAAACAAAGCAAACGATCTGTATGACATCATCGAGATAAGTAGCATATACAGCAAAGCACGCTACTATTTTTTACTTTCAAATCTATTTTAGCAGGCTCTGTCAATATAATTTTTCAGTCCAATTTATTTCAGAACGCTTTTTATAAATCAAAAAAATACTTTTCTATTACTAAATTTTGGCTGTTAAACAGTCTAGGTCCCTAGGATATAAACTATCTGTATTTCAAATTTAACTCAAAACTGTTGAGCCGTTATAGTGTAAGGGAGTAACAAACTTACACACTAAAAAAAGACGCATATACATATGTATATATTAGTCCGAGTAAAGTTTCATACTCGGTATAATTAAGTTTTTCCTTGGGAACATTTTGCAATATACTTATTTCTCTTGTAAAGCATTTGATGTGCCAGGGTAATGAGTATTTTACATCATTTTCCCCACCATTAAATTATCTTCTTCCAAAAAATAGTTTCAAACTTCTTTGCTATATTATATTATACGATGTATTATATAAAAGCACGGTTAATTATTATTTATAAACAAGTTTAGGACATTTTCCTCACCTGTGGTTTTCTTATAAATAAATATATCTAGAGAAGCAAGAATAAGGGAAAATATTTACAAAATAGTCAGTCATACATAATTCAACACAATAATTGACAGATTTCTAAAATGACATATCATTTAAAATATCGAAAAGAGGTACATAAATGATGATAAAAAAGACATTAAATTATAAACTAAAAACTTTTAATATAATAGCAACTAGCGACTTACCCTCGCTCTGCTTGGGTTCGTTCCTACTTATGTTTTAACATTTAGTATGGATTTCTCAGAGATGATATATTTTCACCTATTTTATATATATATATATATATATATACACATACCTATATATATATATATATATATATATATATATATATATATATATATATATATACATACATATATAATCTTTACACTTAAGCAAGGAAAAATCATTAACAAGTATATTGTATATAGTGTAACAACATAGCATACCAGCATTTTCTTCAAAGTTGCCGGAGATGGCAGATCCGACGGTCTTGAGACTGCCGGGAACAGTCTTTCTGGCAGCCGTCTCCCTGATGCTGCACAGGATTCCACCCAAATTGGAGACACCAGTCGACATGCCAGCGCTCTAGCCCTCGCACGCGTTTTCGTGCATCCCCCTAATAAATATTGTTAACAATTTAATAAGACATTGTACACATAAGTATTACTATATAACGTGTATGCAGAAATAGTTACATGTTAATATTTATTAGGTTTAAAATATTATATATTTTTTTACTTTTCTTCCAAATATGATATGTTCATTTCAAAAATATATATTATAATCTGTGGGCAATCAAAATTCTAATAAGAAACTACAGACAATTAGCTGTTTTGTTATTTATTTTAAAAAGAATGAGGAATTAAATTTATCTGTATTTTTTTTGTGGGTGTGTTATTCAAAATCTTCATCAATTGTGGAACAATTTTCCTAAAACTTTTTTAAACTCTTTTTTAAACCCCTAGTTAGTATGAGTATATATTTCACAATTCATTTCACCAGGGAAGGCCAGGGTGCATGACTAAGCTAGCGGTCAGTGAAAACCATTTTATGATGCAAGAATGAACTGAGTAAAAGTGGTATAAAAGGTAATACCAGCCAAATTAATGTTAAAACTTGAAATAAATACTAAGATGCAATGCATAAGCATTGAGTATCCATTATACTCATAATAAAACGATGTATTTTTAAATTACAGTTTTTACGTGCAATATAACTATATATATATAAAAATTGATGTATGTATGTATGCTCCATGTGAACTCCAAAACGACTGGAGCGATTTTGACGAAATTTTTAGGCAATCTTCAGAAATCATGGGTACTGCTAATAGAATACAAATAAAATATTATACCTTCACTCCAAACAAGGTGAGTGACAAGGGGACTCCAAGCTGGCATAACAGATGCACCGAGAGCCACCAAAGCAGCTCTAAGGGCCAATGCTCGACTCTCTGACCCCACATCTACTAGTATTACAATCCCTCGAAGAATTTCATTTATTGGTGACTCTGAAACCTAATGTTAGACAAAGTTAGGTTAAATTCTAGAAGATTATATATCTGCTTTATGATAAAATGTCTGAGGCAGTGGTAGCCCAGTGATAATGCGGTAGAAATAGCATATGAAAAAACCTTAAACACCTTTGATATTTTCATGTGTGAATTATCATTTCTTACATGATTACCACTTGTTTTAAGGTGAGGGAAAATATTGTGAGGAAACCTACAAGTCTGAGAAAACTTAGTAAGTTTTTAAATGTCATGTGCAGTCCTCCAACCTGCATTTGGCCAGTGTGGTGGAATATGGCTTGATCCCCCTCGTATTGTAGGGAGGCCCATGCCCAGTAGTGAGATGTTAAAAAGGGCTGAATACATGATAAAATGTTTAAGTAAACTAAGACTGAGTTAGATTCATAATCATTAAGATGAAATAAATGAATCTTCCACAGACTTAGAAGAAACATATGATTTACTATGTGATTTGAGTCTGACATCAAGGCTGGCTATGTTTTCTTACCACATTCTCAATATAAAAAACCTTCAAATTTTATATGTATATTTCAAGAAAAGTGCTAAATATACTTAAGCTTTATAAATACTTACATTCTTACTCCGCATACTATATGTATTTGAGGAATTTCTATTGTTTGTCATAACATTTTGTGGCTTTTTAACCAAAACATTTTTATGTTTGTCAGATTCATTACATGGTCCTTTTAATTCTGACCATTCCTCTCGTAGGCGTATCCTTTCAGCCATAGCTGAGCGTCTCTGAAAATTGTACAATATTGTACATTAACATTTGGTCCTTATATTTATAACATAATAATGAAAAGTCATCTCACATCTGTCTGTGTGTATATAGAGGATATTAGAAATCATTTTACTTATAAGCAAAAAGTTTATAATGTATGTTAATAATATTATAATGTTTTAAATATTAATAATTAATTAATAAGTTAAATATTGGCATATATTTGCACTTTTTTAAGTTTTTGGCTAATAATATTTACAGATAGTGAAAATATTACTCACAAGTCCTGCAGCATTTTTATTGTTTTCTTTATTCATTGTATATTTTTGTAGAGTACAAAAGTCAAAAATTCACTTCATCACTTGTACAAATACTAACAACTTCTCTTCTACAAACACAATGTACATGTATTTGTTAAATTTATCATGCAGTTCATTACTTTATTATGAATTATTTAATTTGGTCTAAACTATTCCATTAAATTCGATTACGTATTTATATTGACCACAAATAAAAACAAATTTTAAGTTTCAAGTTTCAACAAGTTCATGACATAATCACAGACCTGTTTGATCGTTCAACGTTGACACTTGACGTATTTACAATTAAGGGTTGCAAGTTTATAAAAAAAATTTTGCTATAGACGATTTGATGTACAAATATTCAAGGTTAATTTAAAATAGATATTATTATCAAAATCTGTTTAATAATTTATTTGAAATCATGGAAAAAAATAAACGTAAAATGTAATAAATAAAATATTGATGATTATTACTTTTTAATAATTATGCACATAATTAATCCCATCTTCAAATTGAACTCCTTTTGATTTCATAATGATTTATTATAAATAAATAGAAACCGATACTTGCACTAACAATTTATTAAAACTTTGATTTTTAACTGTAATTTGCAAATATTATTGCAATTTGCTATGTAATATTTACATCACGAAGTAAAATAATATTTGAATATAAAAAGAGTTTTATACGTTATTTATGCTTTTAAAGCATTTTTAAAAGAAATTAGGGTATTAGAAAAATTGCGCCAACTAATTAAATATAAACCAACGTGTTCTTGTATAATGTGCATATATTATACATTTAAAATAAATCATTATATCGTTTTGAATATTTCGCCATCAAAAAATATGTAAAAAAAATGTTTGGTGTAAATGTCCTGAGCACTTCTGAACTCCCATTGACGATTGATCCGGTGGCCTTGGGATTCTGTGTCCCATGAGATACGGCAAAGAAGTATATGTAGGTACATGATTAAAAGTTGAAGCATAACAAAAAAAAAAGATTTATGTAATGATACGTTTTATTTATATTATAATATTTCTAAGACTAGTACATACTAATATTTAGTTAACTACTAACATGTAATTCAATTATGTATTCATTATATTTATTTAAATTATAGCTCATGTGTTTCTTGATATATCTATAACCTATATTATTGTAAAGTTTCATTAAAATCTGTTCAGTAGTTTTCGCGTGAAACGTGTTTTACAATCAAATTTTAATTTGTTGTTTGAACTTCAAAAAGACTTTTTAATGTAAAACCTTCTTTTAATGGTTCGATAGCTAAGCCTAAGTACGGACTATATACAGGTTGTATATCAACATCTTCTTTATTCTGAGCTTGCTGAGATGCTAGATACAGGCTTGGGCCCATTTCACCACGTGGTTCACCTATTTCTTCAAGTTCGTCTAATTCGTTGTATGTAGGCTTTGATACCTTTGAAAAATAATAATGAAAAATAAATGTAACATGATAAAAATTAAAATAGGCACTGATTAAAGGTTAAAAATAATTTGGAAAACTTTATTTTAAATGAAGCTAATATTGTCAATTTGTAAGTATGTTTATTGGTCTTTACCTTAGCGGTCTAGCAAAAGTTATACAAACATATAGCAGTACTACATAGTAGTACATATTATAAGATATTTAGAGACCCAGATTAAGATTTTTTATAAAAAGTGACTTGGGACTTGTGTTCTAAATTCCAATAAGTACCTAATTGTTATTTAAAAAAAGTAAAAAACATGCAAAACATATTTTCATTCAAATTTATTTTATTTGAATTTACAAACAAATTCAAAAATCAATATAACAACTATTAAGAGTAAGCCAAAGTCGATGTTAACGATTTCATTACATAGTAGATAGTAGTTACAAGGGAAACTAACAAGTGAAATAGAAAGAGGGGTGTTACTTAAATTACCTCTTTATCCCAATTCATTTCAACACCGAAAATTGGCGTTTCAGTGTACGCCTGGTGTAATGTTTGAAGCTCAGTGAGTAAAGGTCGTAAACGCTCGTACGGATCTGCTCTGAAGCCCAATACGTAACCACCAGACGTAGCTCTGATTATTATTACCAAAGCATCTCCGAACTTTGAATCACGTATTGAAATCTGATGATAAATAATTTATTTTAATACATTTAATTATTATTTTAAGTGATGTAGGTATATGCTTGATAATTATTCCAAATACCTCGTTCATTAAAACATTCCATTAAAATGAATTAGCATAACTATATTCATTATATTTTTTTAATACATTAAATAAAAAATAAAAAAACAAGAATGTTTAGTAAGGTTATACTCAGTAGAATTTTCGGAAGTTAAATAAAAAAAACTATCAATAATAATAAAAAAAACCCATTAAACTTAACTTTTAAAATAAATGTATTTTATTGGCTTGAAGATAACGTTTAAAAACTTTATACTATAACTATATGTATAATGTATTAGTTCGTGCAAAACTTAACTGCGCTCGTGAAATTGCACAGGTATTATGGAGTGCAAAATTTTATTTTTATTATATTTTTAAAATATTTATTACGAGTAGCTCATAATACTTTGATAAACTACAAATTGTAATATATGCCTTCCTATACATCATGCTATATAATTTCTATTACCCACAGACAGCTACGACTAGCCCGTCGTCTTACGGCTAACGTCCCAAGGCGCATCTAAGTTATGCGCGAACTACATATTATATTTACTTACACTCTCTATAGTGATGTACGGCATAGAAACATTAAAGGCCTCATTAATATCCGCGTACCAGACAATTCTCACATTGCTCACTATCATCGTTCCCAAGTTTCCAGAATCACTAGATAAGTTCCAAATGCCCCTTTCGTGAAGACTTATCTATAATTTTTTTTTTTGTTTTGGCTGTATACACATATGGATATACACAGATGAATTGACATATAATAATATTATGTTATATGTATCCGAACGTATGTTTTCATTTTTTTTATTATATTAATTTTATTTTAATAAAAACAAATTTAGATATGGCAACATTAATTTTGAATTCGAACATGTTATTGACTATTGTTTCTTAATTTAGCTATTGTGTTAAGTTTCGAATGTTTTAATATAAAATTGTTGTATAATTTCAAATTGCAACCCTAATTAATATTATGCATTACAATTTTAAAACTTTGCCACTACTTTATTATTTTCTTCCAAAATTATTGTATAATTTTATAGTTAGACACGATCTGTAATAACTATGGTGTTAAAGACAAAATAATCTAAATAAAATCTTAAGTTTCTGCCGTGAGTAGTAAGGTCTTAATTGCTTTAAAACATTCGAAACGTCGGAAACATTAAAAAATTAACAAAATCGCGAAAACCTATTAATATTTCTTTGTTAAAAGAAAATTGTTAAGAAATCACCTTCTTGACCAATGGTGACAAAATTATTACGTCCATGACACATACCATTTACAATACCCTAACATGTCGCATAAAATACAGTATTATTTCCAATCCCGTTCCATCCCATGGGATATTGGCACATTTGAATAAAAACTAGAACCCGTTGAAGTCAGGGCTTAAGCGAAACTAGCGAAAGTGCTAGTTATGAATAAATTTTAATATTAAAATCACAGTGACCTATATTTAGAGTAACTGAATGTTAACTTTGTTGAGTGCTTACCTTCTCTAGTGGTAATACTCGTAACTGTTTATTGTTTACAACTGCACCTCTCAGTTTTAGATCGCGATACATTCTCGATGATGCATAAGCTCTGCAATAGTCCATATCCATATCTACTATTTATTAATATTACTAATGTCATATTAAACGTGGTTGATTAATTGGACGTACCTATTTCGAGCCAGCCCACGAAAACCGTTTTTGAGTTACTGTCATAAATAGCACCTATAATATCAACTTATATATAGAAAGTAGATAAAATACCCAATATATAAGAGGTATTTCAAAAAAAAAACTACAGTCTTGTTATCTTGATATACCAATTTTACTAAAACCCCTATTTTCTCAAAAGTAAGCTTTTGTGGTTTGATCTATTTTGCATAACTACGTCCAACTGTTTTTTATTGGTAACATATTTATATGGAATCTGTCATGGGGTAACTTTGAATTGGTACTTGGAATTAGGTTCTTTTTTTTTAAATCAAATTGTTTCTGTCCGTACCATTAAAGAGCTTTAACTTTCTTTTATATGTATATATTGAAAAAAACAGATATTTGTTCCGTTCTGGATATGATAAAATAATCTGTATCAATAGTTTTAATTGCGTTATATGACGAAACTTCATAGTCTCATAAATTTTTTTTCAGATTTTGTCTATCTTTAGGTTTAAATTTAAAATATCAAATTATCTATAGAATAGTCAAGCTTTTAGTATAAAAATAGAATATAATTACTGTCTTTCTTTCTTAATTATTTTTAAATACTTATGTATTTCAAGTTTTTTTTATAAACAACAGGTTAAACGTAAATATGTTTTTTTCTTACTTATGGACTCCAGTCACAGTAGTATAATGTCTCACACAGTTTGGGGCTAAGTTGGTAAAGACAAACTCGTATTTGTTTTTGCTGTACGCAGCCAACACGTATAGAGCTTGTGTGGTGCCTCGAAGACCGGAGTTGACGATTTTTGTATTTGTGCTTATGACACAGTTTAGGCCCATAGCTGTCAAAAATGTAGATTATATTAAATAGACAAATATTAGATTTTTAATATCTATGTAATAGTAGCATAGTTGCATTTTTTATTAATAAATTTATATTAATTAGATTAAAATACATTATACCTATTATAATGCCCTCCTGACCGATTTCGGCCACGGCGGTCACTCTCACTGAGACTAACCACATGATATACAGGGCACAAGCGTACGCGCAGACAAAAGTGCAGCCTCTATACCTGTCACTCCCATACTCCGGTGGGATGGAAGTTAGATGTCGTATCGGTGAGAGATCAGGCGCAAGACAGATGATTGTACATGCATTGGTGCAAAAACCACCAACTCCCCAAAATATGGGCAGTTATTGACAATTTCTTTAAAAAAAAAAACTGAATAATTTGATACTTGGCCCGACCCGGGGGGCGAACCCAGGGTCTCTGGATCGGCAAATAATATACATTATGTCCAATGGATAAAGATTCGGTAAAAATATTTGAAACAAATATAAGCGACATATGTATGTATATATCATTAACTATCATTATGGAATAAAGATATTAATTTTTGCAATGATTGTTTTAGCCATTACATGAAGCCTTGGTATCAATTTACTAAAATTAATTAGAAAAAAAAGATCAAAAGATTCCTCGAACAATTTCATTACTTTTAATTGATATCCCAATAATTTTTCCTTCTTCACAATAATAGCTGTGCTATACTTGAAAAAATCTTCAATTATTAGTAGGTACTTAAAAAATATTTAAGTATATGACAACTTTTAACAGAATAAATTTTTTTTACTAAATAATTTATCTTAAGTTGATATTATAGAAACAAATAATTACTACATAATATCTTTAAGATATGCGTGGATTTTAGGCTTAGGTAGAAGACCTGACTTCAATGTATACCTAGGTACTAACGTAAAGTGATAATGATAAATTGATACATTTGCTTTAAAAAGAATTTGCCAAAAAATAATAATATGAATTAAAAATCAAATCACGGTTTTTTGTGACTTAAAAGTGAATACACAGGCAAAGTCGCAGGCAGAAGCAAGTACAAAAATAAAATCCAAAAAAAAATGAGAGCTTGTAACCTTTCGCGCGTTTGAAGTAAAACTTCTTTGGTAAATATCGCTATTAAATTAAAATAAATCAAAAAATAAATAATAATATAATAATATATTTATGGAATAGCTTAAACGGAAAGATTATAATATTATATAATTATGTAACATACAAGCATAAATTTGTCACACAATAACAACGGTTACCATGGCAACAATTAGTAATAATAGCTTTTATTTAATTTATGCACATTCATCCTACAGGAATAAATATATTTTTTTAAGTAATACATTATAAAATTATTAAATATATATTTTTGTACATAATAATTATTATACAAATATAATATAATATTAAAAAAAATATTAATAATAAATTTGACTCTCACTTCCGCGACATTATTTTTCCAATGTATTGACTTACCCCTCAGTCACGCCTAAATAAGTTTTACTTCAATAAAATTCAAATAATAAATATAAAATGCATTACCGTGCAGGAAGTTTTGGAATAGGTCAGTAATTGTACACAGCGACTGCCGAGGGTCAAGAGAGCAATTTCGAGTCTATATCCATGCAAATATAGGCGAATGGAATTCGGAAGCAGCGTGATTGTACTTAAAATTGATTTTCTATGTAAAATGTTTGGATAACGTATTAAATGTTTGTATAAGTCGCTAAATTGTTATCGCACGTGTGTAGAGGATATTAGTTGTTTCGTTGTTGTATTACGCGATGGATAGATGTCCTGGATTTGAGTTCCAGTTGAGGATGAGAATGTTTACGCGTACCAGCTAAAGCCTTTAATTATGCTGTGCTTCTGCTTCATTTCCTTAAGTGGATCTTACCATGTGAAACCAGAACACCCACTGATACATAATACCCTGAACGTCTTAGTTTGGTGCTAGATCGTTACATTAGTATACTCCTAATCCTAATGCTTCGAAAATTTTCATCCCATAATTAACGCGTTTAGGGGGTGAATTTTCAAATAAAACACAACTGTCACCTTCTTTATATAAGGAACTATTGTGGTAAATTTTATGCTTGTAGACCAAGCGATATAGAATGTGTGTTGTATGTGAGTGTGTTAGATCTAGACACATCACACAGATTATTCCTGCAGGGTTAGTGTATTTTAAAGAGATCAGTTACATATCCTTAACCTCATGCACTAACTCGAGCAAAGCCGATGTGCTAGTTTTCAATACATTCAATTCTTTTATGTAACCTATCATTAACAGTGAACTAGATGTAATTTAAAACTACGAGCTTCACGGGTCAGGCATTAATGTTAGAAAATAGCAGGCTACATATTGTTGGTCTGCTCGATCGTTTAGGTTAAATACATGTAGTTACCACCGATTTTCGATTCTACGATTATGTATAGAAAGAGGCCAAACGTGCATCGGACTTGTAATTTGACTGATGTATGCTCTTTCATTTATACTGTCTTATGTCTTTAAATAAACAATGACTTCACTTATTGGCTAGGGAAACTTGTTTTCGAAGGATTCAAAAAATTACAAGTTTAATTATAGTTAAATCGACTTATACATATTTCCTATGCGAATTTGTTGCTACTTTTCATAGTTTCTAGTTTAAAAAAAAAAATACTTGGTATTTCTATTCATGAAAAATAAAAAATGTCTGACAATCTATGTATTTATTCTGACATTGAGGATATAGTTAGCTCATCAATACAAACAAAACTATACGAGGATGCTGTAATCTAAGATTCTCTGAAGGATCTTATCTAGTGATCTAGTGATCCTGATTGAGAATCAAGCCTATCGACTTAGCTAAAAAAAAGCAAGTTTACTTGACATACGGATGTCGCAGATTTGATCTCAGTTTTTTAGTCAAAATTTTGCCAATTAGACGTTGTGCTTTTTAAAAAACTTTATGCAAAAATCATTGATTAATTAATATGATATTTACACAAATTGATCCTCGGTGAACTCAACGAGTGCCATATGATTCTCAAGTTTGTGACAACGAGGCGTCCTTGCATACCGCTGTTGCCTTTTGTATCTTCTATCGCATCGATTCTATCAAAAACCTTTTCTCCAGACCTTAATTTTAAATATCTGAAATAAAATCGTAGTGTAAAGTAATAAAGTCACTATATAAGTATAAATGCGATTGCTCCTATCCCATCTACTTAAAGCAATCCGAATGGTACATCGTAGACCGAAGTGGGACATCCCCTCACAACAACACATAGGCTACAAAGTACAATGTAATAAATATGGCGTTGCCTGTATATAATATTACATCGATATTTACTTAAATATATCAGAAATATATATTTAAAAGTTTTAATATAAATAGAACATTATTAAGTAAATATTTTATAATTTAACTTACTAAAGAGGAAAATTTTTAATCAGAATCTATAATGAAATTTATTTGGCATAATATTGTAGAACCTTTTACATACTAGAAAGAAATCTTAGAAAAGACTCGTCAAGTCAATAATTATGATTTCAATTTCCTAAAAATATATAATATCAAATGTTATTGAAAAGGAAATAGGCCCATGCAAAGTAAACAACGCGACAGTGGCAAGGCTAACAGATTCTCTGTACCTATGTATATATAAATAAATAAATATCTTACTCGAAAGGTAAATCGAAAAGCACTTCTCGGTCTTCCCACACGACATCTTTTTTAGCTTTCGACATGTTTATTTGGATGAAAAAATATACTGTTCGGTCGCAAAGTGTTGTGGTTACTATGGCGACGGTTCATAAACATACAGCCAATGTATCGCTTTCATAATGTTTTCTTTGATACAAATATCAATACAGAATATTTTTTTGTATACAAAAGTAAGGATATTTAATGTAATATGATCCTGAGCTTTGAAATATTATTTCGTATGAATAAACATCTTTTGCTATAAGCTTTGTTAACATAAAGTTAATTTATTTGTTAAAGAAAAATCTAAAGAATTTATTAATAAGAACAACAAAATATATTACCATTGTTTTAAACAAATAAAAAAATTGATAAAAAGACATTAAGATTTTATTTTTATGATAAATATTTTTAACAAACAAAATTAGCTTAATTTTAGTTTTTGAAACATAAAAGCATAAATTAATCACATCAATAATTTTGTCGGTAAAGGAATTTATACGCTCCATTCCGATCTCATTATTGTTAAATTGACCTAAATTACACTAAATTAACGCTAAAAGGAAATTCGGCAATATCTAAGTACACATCTGTTATAATAAAAGGAAGGAAATTTTATTTTCAAGATATTTTTTATTTAAATAAACCCTGTTTACTAAGTTTATTAATATTACAGCCTTTGTCACTGGAATTTATGAAGAAAAATATTTGTCTATGCTTTGCCGCGTAAACAAGAGGGTCGCTTGGCGCCAATAACTTCATTATGGCAATGCTGTCAAATTTAAAAGTGTTTAAGTGCAAAAGACAAGCTTCTAATTGATGAAAACATCTTAAAAGCCATTTAAAAGCTCAATGTTATCGGATTTGTCTTTCCTGGTAACTTGTTAGAAATCTATTGGCGTGTCATTCTGACGTTTTAGTTGGCGGGAAATTGTTTTGACAGTGTCAAGTAATTAACATATTGTATAGCGATTAAAAGTCACCAAAAATAAAATCAAAGAATGGTAGGCTGGTGGTACAATTAAAAAAAAAATTAAGTATACAAATGTTGAATTAATAATTTTTTTCATATTATGTTTGTAACTATTATCACATATTTTTTTATACAAAGTCACGATTACGATATGATGATCATTACGACAAAATACGCGTTCTGTTCATTTCCTGTAGGATACCTTTTAATCTAAATATTGAACCGAGTAGTATTTTTTTTTAAACAAAACTGGGTAGTGATTCAAAATTTAATTAAAGTCCGTTCAGAACACAGACAAACAGATATACCTCCAGACAAACAGACCAACATTTGAAAAACTTTTTCTATATTCTGTTATAATAGTAGGTAGTAGGTATACAATAAGTAATGATTGGTTTTAAAAAATATATAAAAAACTAGCCCGCGGCTCCGTCCGTGTTCAGATGACCAAAAACCAAATTCTTAGGTTTTACATATGAGTATACTCTTACATTGCAATTTTTGTATTTTTTCTCTTAAATGCGATATTTTCCCACGGTAAAAAGTATCCTATATGTTGACCCGGATAATCAGCTACCATCATACCAAATTTCATCAAAATCCCTCCAGTGGTTTTTCCGTGATGCGGTAACAGACAGACAGACGGACAGACAGACAAAAATTCTAAAAGCTATAAATTCGGCCTCTGTACCGATAATAATGTCTATTTCAATAAAATTTTCAAAAAAATATTTAATGTACAGATTCGACTTAGTTACAATTTTATTATATGTATAGATATAATAAATATAGTAATGACAAGATAAAAATATTAATGTTTGATTTTTCGTTTTCAATTAACATTGAATATAGTCTGTTTAATTTTTTTTTAAATATTAATTATCAATTAGATGACTAGATAATGAGAGTGACATTTATTCCATGAAGACCCAAAATTCCCTTGACCGAGCACTGTGGAATGCAAACGTAAATTGTGACTGAGCCTACAATTTCAATACATTTCATTGAAATTTTACAATTATGACAACAATAAATTAATTTAAACCAGTACTATCATTTCCAAACACTCGGGCATAGCATTTAAAATGGCAGCCACAGTCCGAAGCGTAATGGCTAAACCGTTAAATTGATGGAGTTTGGAGCATAAAAATCGTTTTTATTACATATCTTCTACTACCCAGGCTGGACATTTTTTATTAATGTTAAAGAATAATTTGAAGATCCTCATGCGTTGTGATACATCTGGTTAATGTTAATCTATTCATGTAGAGGCAGTGGGTTCGATATTTAATGGGAAAAATTTAGCTATTTACTTTTTCATCTTAATTTTTACAATATTGTATAGCGGTTCATATCGGGTAAGTAGTCCGTCTGTTCTTGACTTTTTCCTTTTTGGCTACCGGGCCCTAAAAATTCCCCTTTATCATTTTTTTTTCTATAAGCTTCGTCAAATCAAATTTAATAAAAACTCTTCCGTTGTTGTCTTAGAACTGTTTAAGTATCTTCTATTTAAGTATATTGGGAAACTAATGTCGAATCGCATATCTAACATACATATTATAATGAAAATACATATAACAAAATTCTAACTTAGCCGTATCTGTACAATTTACTATTTTTTGGAAAATCTTATTGAAATAGACATTATTAACGATACCGAGGCCGAATCTATCTATCTGTCTGTTTGTCTGGGAAAGGACCACGAGAAAACCACTGGATAGATTTTGATGAAATTTGGTATGATGATAGCTGATTATAGCAGTCAACATATAGGATACTTTTTGCTGCAGGAAAATATCTCACCTCTGAGCTAAACGATAAAACGTACGTCGCTAGTACTTACTATATTTTAAATCAATATGACAGTTAAAAGTAGGTTAATATTGATTTTCTTTTGTTTAACTCTTAGTTTGCTAGTTACGTCCAAGAGAAGGAAAAGCGTGTTAAAATATTCAGACACTCAGGAAAAAGTCGAAAGCCATTAAGAGTTAACTGAATCACCAGATTTATAATTAATTTAATTCCTCAATTGGATTAAATTCATCTAACTTCCATCAAAATAATATTTTCGAAAAGAATTTAGGATTCAAAGATTACCTTACCTTTAAGATTTTTAACAAAATTCTTGAAATCTCAGGCAAATCCTTATATTGTTGGAGTTAATGTTGGTTTTTGAATGTTTGATAAGTTTTTGGGCTTGTGGCGGTCATAATTGACTTGTTTAATTAAGTTAGACGAGTTTGGAAGTAGGTAACAGCAGGCAGATGCGTAAAATTATCTAATTAAAAGTATTAGCGAACATTTGCATTTAACCCTTTCTCTAATTGTTTTTTGGAGATAGTGTCGCTTTACTCCACGTGTTACTTAAATCTTTTTTCTATTGTATACGTCGAAAAAGAATAGTGAAATTCATGAGATCGAGAACTCGAAGGTGAAAAATTAATATATGTGCTACTACCTATTGCTGGGTACTGGTCATCCTTCAGTACTAGAGAGATCAAGCTATAGTCCACCACGCTGCCCAAGTGTGGTTTGGCGGACTTCATCTGTCTTTCCTATAATAGGTTTTCTAAGATGGGTTACGGTGTTTTCCTTTAACTACTACCGTATGGAAATTATGTAAAGCACGATTCGTAACCGCCGGATTTGAATTCGCTTCTTTCCTAAACGATCGCGTTACCATATTATTTTATTTATCCAATGTAAAATGAAAAGGGCTTTGAATAGTTTACTACGGAAGCTGGTAATAGCCACCTACCGCCATTTTGATATTTTTTTAAAGTAGCAGTAGACGATGAAATAGGTATGTATGTGTGCATAAAATACATTTAAAAAACATTTAACTTATTACTGAGTTATTTAAGGTAAGTATCATTAAAAGATTTTGTTTTTTTAAATATGTTCTATCTATACGTATGCCTTACTTACTTCCATCTTACGTCATTAACTTGAAAAAAAATCAAAATGGCGGCCGTAGGAAATGCCACAAAGGTGCTATCCGATTTACAACCACTTCGTTCAGCAAAGCTCTTCAATTTAAAATCAAATCTGGATGCTTAGACAAGATGCTACTTTACAATTATTGAAAAATTGAAATTTTAAAAATGCTATTCCCATCACATATATTTTTTTAGATTCTTTAACGAATATAGAATGACATCTAGTCCTCTGCTTTACTGACAATAATTCTCACGAAAAATTTCAAAACTCAAACTCGTGCCAGGTGTACCACTTGTGAGTTACGAATAGTAAACATTGTAAATGAAAAAGGCTGGCACTCGTTATTTTTACCTCCCCCGTTTATTGCACCAATAAATAACATTAGGGGTTTATGAGGCGAATAAAACGCGCAGAGCTGAATTTTTAACATTCAATACGTTGTACGCATTTCCTCGTAGAACTGACATTGCGTGGTCGTTTTAGTTTATATTGTAGCAGTTTTTGCTAATACAAAATGTCCGTTGATACAAAATGAGAGTAAAGTTAATGAGCATGTAATTTGTAGATAAGTATTTTCACTATCTTAATATATATAATTCTTCTGTACGTGTGTTTGTTAAACTCCTCCTCCTAAAGGGTTAGGCCGATTTGGATGAAATTTTGTGTGTATATTTCAATGGGCTCCTGGATGGTTGGAAAATACAATTGGACCCGGTAGGTGGCGCTGCAGTGGGTGTGTCACTGAGCATCTCCTAAACGGCAGGGACGATTTTAATTATATTTTTGGTGTATGTTCGAGTGAGTCCCTGCAAGGTTTGAATTAGTAGTAGGCAGTAGTAGTAGGTGGCGCTGCAGTCGGTGTGTCACAAAATTTTCATAAAAGACTCCATTTTCCGAGCAATAAATAAATTTAAATTGTTGATTAAATAAAATAAAAATCGATGTGTGTATGTATGTTTCCTATGGACTCCAAAATAGCTGGAGCGATTTTGATGAAATTATCAGGTAATCTTCAGATTAGCCCAGCGGGTGATCCTGTGAATTTTGTTAGCGATCGGAAGTTTGGACGCGGGCGAAGCCACGGGTACTGCTAGTTTATTATAATTTAAAACATTAATATTCAGAATTACA